GGGCGTCCTGCCCGGCCAGGTGATGTGTAGCACGCCCTGCCCCCACCCCAAAGCCATGCCAGGAGCAGCCCCCCGACTGTGGTGTCCCAGGGGGCAGGGACAGCTGACCCACTTCACCTTCCCCTTAATCCAGCTGTGACCGTGCGCCTCCCACGCGGGATGCACTGGTTGATTGCTTGGGGGGTAAGCACCCCTGCAAACAGCGGCGCTCTGCTCAAGCTGGCACGAATTCGGATGTCCTCGCCCACAGTCACGCTGTGGATCCGAGCAACGAAGCCGGGTGAGAGGCATCTCTGGCATGACGTCGGCCACCTGTAACCGCATCAGCACCGTGCACAGGGGCCTGGCCCTCTAAGCTGCCACAATGCCGCGCACAGTCCTGCACGAGTCACCTGCTGAGTCCAGACAAGCGGACTGAAGGTCACTCCTCTCTGTGGGCGTGAAGTCGCCACCCCTGGCACGCTGCACCGCACCCTGCACCCTGCACAGCGGCTCTGGCGGTTAGGCTGCACAATCGGATGTCCTGCACAGTCACCTGCTGATCCAGCACAAGCCGGTGATAGGTCATCCTCTGGGTGTTTGAGCTGCCACCGCACCCCTGCAGCGCGGCTGCTGGCTCTAAGGCTGGCACAATCGGACGTCCCTGCACAGTCACCTGCTGATCCAGACAAGCCGGGTTGAAGGGATCACTCCTCTGGGGCGTGAAGAGTCGCACGCCCTGCACGTGCACCCTGCCCAACGGCTCTGGCCTCTAAGCTGCACAATCGCCTGCTGCACAGTCCTGCACAGTCACCTGCTGATCCAGGACAAGCTGGTGAAGGTCACTCCTCTGGGCGTGAGTCGCCACCCTGCACCCTGCAGGACAGGTAACTTGGGGAGGGCTCACGTTATCTTATTTAACAAAAACATTGCCCAGAGCATGGTATGATAAATGCCTGGCAGGATGGAGGGCGCCTCCCACAGAACTTTCACCAGGTGGAGGAAGGCAGGATGCCCACGGGGTGATGCTGGGTGGAACCCCCAGCTGCCAGCTCTGGGAGGGGTGAGGAGGCCTTGGGCTCCTCTTCTAGGTAGCCCCACTCAGAGCCTTGGACAGAGGGCGGCGCTGCATGGAGGGGCAGCCAGAGCCAGACTGGGAGCAAGAGGGCCAGAGGGAGGCAAGATGCAAAGCAAAGCCTGGAAATCCAGACAACACCGGGAACCGCCTGCACTCTCTGAGGTTCACCAGCTCCCAGACCCGCCTGTGGATGGACTCACCCTTGTCCTCTGGGTCCCGCCTGTGCCCAGGACTCCCAGGACCTCGGAGGTATACTCTAGGCGTGATCTTCATTCTTCTGCAGAACTGTTCGCCTTAATTTGCTGGAGATTGTCTTAAAGCATGGCCTCTATCCATCCACAGATTTAGCGGAATTGATTAAAATAAACAACACTTGGCCGGGTGCGGTGGCTCAAGCCTGTAATCCCAGCACTTTGGGAGGCCGAGATGGGAGGATCACTAGGTCAGGAGATCGAGACCATCCTGGCTAACACAGTGAAACCCCTTCCCTACTAAAAAATACAAAAAACTAGCCGGGAGAGGTGGCGGGCGCCTGTAGTCCCAGCTACTCGGGAGGCTGAGGCAGGAGAATGGCCTGAACCTGGGAGGCGGAGCTTGCAGTGAGCTGAGATCCGGCCACTGCACTCCAGCCTGGGCGACAGAGCCAGACTCCGTCTTAAAAAATAAAATAAAATAAATAAATAAACAACACTTTCATGTCGTCCTTTTAGGGATTTCTTCAAAGCACTGTGTTGATTTTATAATTCACCTGCTGGGGAGAGTTGGCTTAAGGGATATTCTGAAATGAACAAACAGCCACAGTCGCCTGTGAAGAGCCACACGTTGCCCGTCCCATCCCAGCTCCGAGCCTCTGAGAGGTTCTCCCCTGCCTGCTGAGCTCCCTCCCTTGTGACACTGG